GATGTCTTCGGCAAGCTGAACTGATGACTCAGCCCTCCATTCCTCACCTCCTTTATTTTTCGCCCAGGGTAAAAAATAATCCTGGCTACGTCACTGAAACCATGACATGTATAAGCAAAGAGCATAGAACAAAACAAACCAAAAGTCCTGAGATAAGGAGAATAATTACGGATAGACCTCATATAGTATTGCTCCAATTGAGGATAGATCCCCTATAGTTCTATTTATGCCTTCTGAATGATTTTTCACCCATAAAATAGTCAATTTTTTTTGGAGAAGACAGATGGATTCTTTGTAGTTCTATTTGTGGAATCGCTAATTTTTTTTATTCTTAAAGAATTAGAAAAAAATTCACTAAGAGTCTATCTATACTTGGGCAATCTATCTTCACAAATAGAACTACAAGTGCAACTTTTGCAATTGGGCAATAATAAAGGGGGTCTATTCAGAATTAACCCAATAATATATAGATGTATAAGGAGTGGTTGAATTTGGTGTTGTCAATGAAAGATAAAGGGCGAATATCACCGCACAGGTAGTCATGGGCAAAAGATAGGAGGAGATAAATAGATGGAGACAGTTGAGAAGTGGGCCTTGGAAGCATCTTAATTTGGGTCACAATCCAAATGAGTCAGGTTCACCTTTTTTATTGTGACGCAATGGAAGCTTGTCGTCTTTTGAGCCCAGCATTTAAATTGGTACATTGAATCTTTCACCCGAATTAATAAGTCAAAAGCTTTGCCTTGGGATTTTTAGGGGAATTCCACGCTGAGGTGACTCGAAAGAGTTGGGAGATCGGTTCATATCCATGATAAAAAATCGCAAAACTGCAAATAACCATTACATGATATTATATCATCAAACTTACATAACGTATAGTTTTAAGGCATCTTGAAGGTCATTAACTTTTTGTATATTTTAACATGCTTAAATTATTTGTACATATTTCTAATCCAACTCTTGATTGAAACTAATTGTACTTAGAGAGATGTAACTTAATTTCTATATGTTTGATTATCATTTAATCTTTTTACTCGAAATAATCATATCTCTTAGTCTTCGACTTATCTCAATATAAATAGTGGTCGTCATCGATTAGGATGTGAACTATTTGCCTGTTGATGTTTTGAAAGTGTTTGGGGAAAGTAATTTTTTGACAATTTAAAAAAATGTGAACTATTCTAATCTATTTTCGAATTGTTCTAATTTTAGATGCCTAATTACCTCTTCTCTCTATTTTCAATATGCCTAGTTAAGTGCTTAAATAGGCATGTGCGAAAATATTATATCTTATTATCTCCGGTATATCAAAGATAAAGTTAACGTGAAGAAGATTCCACGCGGATGACATGTTCATTTTCCCACTTTAGATATAATCATGACTATTTTCTTTCTTTAGTTTATTTCTAAGCTGACCTAAGAATGATATAATTCTGACCAATTTGCCTAACTTAATTAGCCCAAACACCGATATTAATTTTAGGGAAAATTGCTAGGAGGAACTTCAAAAACTAATACTATGTATCCTCCTCCCCAGCCAAAAAACTCATGCTATCCTACCCTTATAAGGAAAAGTCAGTGCAACTACCATCCCAAAACTGTAAAGCCCACAACCCAACAAGACACTTCTGAAAATGCCCTTCCCATTAAAAAAAATCGTATTTCCCCCTTCTATGCACGTTTATCGATATTGTTTACAATATTTTCTCATCACCCTCTTCTTCTCAAGATCCCGCTCATCCACTGCCGCCGACGAGGATCCCGACCCCCGACACCGCAAGCTATTCGTCCTCGACCCCTACAGCTTCGCTTCGTCATCGTCGACGCATCGTCCTCGTCTTCGCTCTGTCGTTGCCCCCTATGACCAAATCAAGGAAGCTCGTCATCGTCTTCGCTCCGACAAGGACCCCGCCGACCTCAAGCTCGTCGTCCACAGCAGACCAACATCGACCCCAAGTCCATCTTCTTCACATAGTCTCAATTGAACCAAACCCTCAATTTGAAACCCTCAGTTTTTGCTGAAAATCTAGGATGGTGAGAGCAACATCATCATCTGAATCATCTGAATCAGCAACAAGAAAGGCTAAGTTGTAAATATCAATTCTGAATCTATCCACATTTGTTCACTTATTTGTTTGTCATTGTGAATTTATCCACAATTAAAAGTAGAACCATAAGTATAATTATTTTCTCTAATGTTGTGTTTTACAGTAAGGGTGATATACGAATATGTTGTAATATATGTGGCTATTATGAATTCATGGATGAAATTGTTTAGCGAATGAGGGCCGATTATTGGAAGGCTTATGGATCCTCCAATTTTTAAAACCATATTAGTTTTGGAGCAATTCCATCTGACAGAGCCACAATTATACTAGTGATAGATCACCTTGATTTGGCTACCGAAAAGTTCTTTTTCAATGATAGCCAAACGGGGGGAAAAAATAGGCCTATACATTTGATGTAAATTGGGTGCAAAAATAAACCCGGTTCAAGGATGAAGGGGAGAAACAGGAAGCAAATCGCAATACAACGAATAGAATTTGAAGTACGTACTTCAATAAGAAGCAGCAAGATACTTACAAGAGTGGCTGAGATTATCTTGAACACTTATTGGATAAACTAGTTGGGTCCAAAAAGAAATCCGATGTCCAAGATTTTGTTATGCTTCAAATTATTTATCAACTTACAATGATATGTACTCTAACTGCAAGAATGAATGCACCGTGACATATATTTAAGTATATGACTCGGATAGATGTAGTTGATCATTTCTCATGGACGACCATCATCTACAATGAAGTGTGAGATTCTGTAAAAGCTTCCAAGATAGCTAAAAGGGATTGACATACCTTGGTGGCTGCGCTCCCTTGCAATTGGTGAGTTATTTATACTATTTGTAGTTAATATGTGACATTCATCCCTGATTTGTGATAATTATCTTTTACATATGATATATCTACTGATATGTGACATTTGTCCCTTATATGTGACATTTAATTGTGATATTTAATGTTTACATGTGACATTTGTCTCTAACTTGTGATATTTATCATTTACACGCGACATATTTTATTACTGATATGTAATGTGATAGTTTTAATCTATGATAAGTGATATGAAATGAGCTGACTTCATTGATTAAATGTTACTTGTTTGAAGCTATGGTACTATAAGATCACAAACATCAAAGAATATGCTAGAGTCAACGATTCAAAGCCACCAATGACTAATTGGACTTTGAAATGTAAGAAATTGGGTTCATTAGGAAGTGCAACAATTATGAAGAAGTCAGAAGCCGCAATCCACATCTTACCGAAGCAAGATATACCGCGATACATCTATGAGGAGATCAAGCAAGAGCCTACAATAAGGAAGGCTAGAAGAGAGGAGAAATCAGACTCCGAAAACTCTTTAAGAAAGAAAAGAGTTAAAAAAAGGAAGAGAGTCAATCGACTGTTGCATTGGTAAGACAAATTTAACTCTTATCATGTGATATTTACAATTTAACAGTGATAATAGTCTTTTTATGTGATTATTGTTTATTTCATGTGACTCTTATATGTTGGTTATAATAATAAGTGTTATTTTGTGATCTTTACCTATTTTCTATGACATTTATATGTAGACTGTGATACATTGTTATCTGTAACAATTGGTTATTCCCTATGACATTCACTAGTTGATTGTGATAAATGTAGTGTTTATGTGATATTTGTGGTAGAATGAAGCTCCTTATATGTGACATTTATGTGTGATCTTCTTATATGTGACATTTGCTCACTGAAACTTAACTGTTGATGTAGACTGAAGCTTATGAGAAGCTGTCAGTGTTGAATAAAGCTTATGAGTAAGAACTTACCTCACTCGGCGTTGATACGAAGGCCATTTAGACTGATATTGAAAAAAAGTTTGCGCCACAGAAACAAGAGAGAGAAAAGAAGGATGAGAGAAGAAACTTTCTCCTGTTTCATGTACTC